TCCTGAGCTCATTAACTGCAGGTCACCGTTCAGCAGGAAAGACAAGGCGTGGGTTCTGCGGGCGTTCATTAGCCGTGAGAGGAACAGTGTGTGTGAAATTAGCAGTCACCTGAGGACCTCGATAATTTCATAATTAGGAGGCCTAATGGCTCCAGCTCTGGATGCCAAATGACTTAACCCTTTGCCTGCTGGGCTATTAACCCCCAGCCCAGGGCTGCCGGAGGGGCCTGTAGTGCCCCCTCTGCTCCAGTTCTCCTCCCTACGGCCCAGCCATGTTCATCTCTGCCACACCAGTGCCCAGCCCCCGCGCAGGCCCAGAGGGGGTGTGAAAGTAAGGTTTAGAGATTGGATGAATAAATGAATGGACGAACGAATGAGCGAGCGAGCAACCAGGTACCTGAATGGGGAAAGAATTTCAGCCCCCGCTGCAGGTGCTCAGGGGAGGAATGACTCTCCATCTGCGTGAGTAGGTGTGCGCCTGTGTGCGTGCCTGTGTGTGTGCACATGTGAACATGAGGGCCACACACACACGTGGATCTGTGATGTCTACATCCAGCTCACATCTGTGATACTCATTCTGCTGCCTCCTGTCTGGACAGAGAGTACTTTGGGAGGGGACCCCAAGTGCCTCCCTTGATGCCAGCATCTCCTGGCACCATCCAGAGAATGGTGGCTCCAGAATTTCCATAGGTAGCCCTTGCGGGGGCGGGGGCGGGGGTGGGGTGGAGAAAGGGCTTACAGAGTTTGCCCAGATCCGCATTTGCATAGCAAAGTGCACTGCTTTTTAGATTATTTTTGGAGGCTTCAGGCTACTAAGCCTGTAGCCTGGGGCAGCTGACTTTGACAGACTGCTCTCCCTCCTCCCCACCTTGCCCTAGCCCCCCCACCAACCCCCCTCCCCTGTAAGAGGTGAGGGCTGAGGAGGAGGGTGGGGAGCCCTGGGCTCCAGGCTGGTTTCCCCAATCTGGGACAACTGGTTCTGAGGCTCCGTAACCCTGCCTCACTCCCCTCATTGTGGAGCAGGAGAGTGGGTGAAGGGAGAATGAAAAACTGGGGGAAGAGTTGAGGAGAAACAATAAAGGAATGGGAAGGGAACTGAAGGAAGGAGGGAGAAGGGGAGGTGAAAGGATGGGAAGTCCCAAGAAGGTGAGAGAGAGGAGGAGAGAGACAGGAGGCGGGTGTGGGGAGAAGAGGCAAGGAGGCCCAGAGCATTATCAGCACTTAAAAAGCAGCGGCTCAGTTCTTTGGTACAAATAATGGCTTTTTATGAATAAATCATGTGTCAGACGCCTCCCAGGGAGTGGGCATGGAGGGGGGCGCGTCTGCTGGGCTCCAAGGCTGGCAGGGAAGGGCCGGTTGCAGACCCCCAGCTGCAGGGATGTTGTCCCCTTTCTCCTGATGGGGTCCAAAAGACAGACGCTGTCTCTGGAATTACCATGGGCCTGAGCCTGGCGGAGCTGTCTTTACTCTGAGGTGGTCTCCCTGCTCTGGGCTCATGAGCCTGGCCTGATCCCAGGGCTGGGAGTGTCCCTTTGCTTCCCTCCCTTCCCATCCCCCAGCAGAGCAGCCCAGAAGACGCTCCTGGCAAGGGAACACCGGCCCTGATGTACCCAGGGAGAGGTTTGCGCCAAGACAGCAGACACACCCAGAGAGGAAAACATGCAGTGCCCACAACTCACACAGGCAGACTCCACAGCCCTGGGCGCACATGTGGGCACACTAGGTGATGGATACGCTGTTATGCCTAACACACACACACACACACACACACACACACACACACACCCTCACCCAGGCATGTGCACAGACAGGGAGACCCCAACTATCACCAAGGCTGTCCCCCCTTCCCAGGCTCACGCACATGGGCCCACACAGACAGATGCATATGGCGCTACACGGACACACAGACCTGCACACGCACACCAGCAGCCCACCATCAGCTTAGGGTGGGGGCAGCTTTGCAACCCATATGGAGCCCAGACCCAGCTGGGTTGTCCTGGAGTCTGCTTGTGGGGTGGGGCTGGGGCATCTGTCCCAGGGGATAGTCCATCAGCCTCTATATGCTCCCCACCCAGTGAGGACAGCTACCACACCCCACAGGGAGGTTTGGCCTCCCAGCACTTAGCCCAGGACCTGTATAGGTCCTGCTGGCTCCAAGCTCCTTTGCTGCCACCTCCCTAGAGGCAGTGGGGGCCATGGGAAAGCCTGGGCATTGGAGGTACACAGTCTGGGCAAGAACCTTGGCTCTGGCACTTTTCAGATGTGTGACCTCACAGAAGAATTCCAATCTTGTTCACTTCTCAAAACAGATCTGAGACAGTGGCTGTGGCCCCAGCTTCTAGACCGGGAAAGTGAGGCTCCAAAAAGTAAAGGCACTAGGCCTTATTTCCAGGACCACGCTCTTTTCACAAACGCTAAGAGCTCAGTGTTCTGGTTTTCCTCCTCCTCTCCCTTTGGTGGCTCTTTCTCAGCCAGTGGGTTCCTTTTCCCGTGCCAACGTGTTCTTAGGTGTTTACCAGAGCAGACTTGGGTCGCCTACCTCTTCCTACTCAGCATCATCCCCCAAGCCTGTCTAACACCTTCATGACAACCTCGGTGCTCCTGATTCTTTAACTTCCCTCTCTAGGGTTTCTAACTCCATGATCCAGCTGGACATCTCCAGGCCACCATGCTGCCCAGTGCCAGGGACTGCCATTCACGCAGTAGCTACACTGCTGAATATCCCTCCAAAATCCCAAGGGTTCAATGGAGCCTATCTCACATGGGGCCCATCTGAGGCTAAGCGTACCATCTCCCCCAGGGCTCCTCCCACCTCAAGGCTCCCCTGCTCAGGGAATGGCGCTGCCCATCCAGGTGCCCAACTAGAAACCAGGCATCACCTGATTCTTCCCTGTCCCTCACCCCCTCATCCCAGTGATTCTATATCTAAAATACATGGGAATACATCCTTTCCCCTCCAGCCCCACTGTCCTCCCTAACCCCTCCCTGTTTGAATCACCTCCAACACCTCTGGCCTGGCCACTAACCCTCTCCCCCTTCTGGTCCATTTGCCTCCCCATCATCGGTAATCTCTCCAGTCTCTTTGCTCTAGCCACACTAAACGGCTTTTGGTTCTGGAACCCACACGATCTTGACTCCGGGCCTCTCAACAATGCCATTCCTTCGCCCTCGGAATCCCTGCCCTTCCCAATGCCAACTCACCCTTCAAGACTCAGCTGAGACAGCACCCCCTCCAGGTACCTTCCCTGGGAAGGGTGCGGCATGTCCTTCATTCCCCCAGCAGCCCGGCTCCTCCATTCATTACAGCTCTGATCCATAATTGCCTGTTTATCCACCTGTGTCCCCCGTGAGCCTCTAAGTTCCTTGAGGGCAGAGGTTGCGTCTCTGTTGCCCTCTCTGGCAGCCCCAATGCTTGGTACAAGACCTTGGCACTTAAAGGTGCTCACGAAAGCTTCCATGGATGAATGAATGAATGCAGGGCCGAGCAGTTCACATACCTTTTCTTATCTACTCCTCCACAGAAATCCATGCAATGGGTGCTATTACCCTATGGTCTAGACCAGGAAAGTAAGACATTGAAAACTTGCGCATGGGCGTAGAGCTGGCAAGTGGCAGGGAATGGATTCAAAGAGAAGTCTGTGTGCCTTCCAAGGTCTCCCTTCCCTTATCCCACCCTGCCTTCCCAAGCCATTTTCCCTTTCTGACCCTGTTTTCTCATCCGTACAATGGGAATGAAAATCATACCTAATGCAGGACCTGACACTAGCAGGTTCTCAGTGAATATCTGTGCCATCTCTCCGAACCTCTGAGGCTTATGTATTCAGGACAGAATTTCCCGCAAACCAGAAACTTCCTGCAATGCATATGCTCACAGAAACAGGTGCAGAACTCCACACGGGCACATCGCCAGCGTCCAGAACTCAGTAGGCGCTTAACCAATGTGTGTGAGCAGACAGGCATCAGGGAATGCCAACAGGGACTCAGACACAAAGCCACAATAGGGACGCAGGCACAGGGACACCCTACGATCCCTGCCAATGACCCTCCTCGGCCACCACCACCACCCCTGCTAGCCCAAGGCGCGGGAAATATTTAAAACAATTTTATTCATGAAAATATGCTGTACAATGCACTCTACACGGCCTCGACACGGCACACACGCACACGCACACGCTGACGGCACGGCCACGGTACACTGCCTACGATATGCGCCGGGGACGCCGCGCCCATAGCCCGCCCCGGCCGGACACTTATAAATACGGGAGAGGAGGCAGGACTGGAACGGAGAAAAAGGGGTGTCAGTTTGGGGGTAGATCCGGAGCTGAGGCCTGCTGGAGAGGCTGAGACCAGTACTGGGGGGTGGGAGGGGTGGGGGGTGGAAAGGGGGATTAACTCCAACCTGAGAGGAGAGGAGGAGCTAGGGCCTGCCAGGATAGGAAGGAGGGGCTGAACCATGGGATTGAGGGCTCTATGGGGGGTTTAGGGCTGAAGGAAAACAGCTCAGGGTGAACAGCCAACAGGTAGGTGTGCTTCCGGGAGGGGGTTCCTGGCTTGGGGTGGATGAGGCTAAGACCAGTGGGAAGGTGTCAACTGGGAATCAGATCCCGAGTCTGGGGTGGGTGATCCATAGCGGCGAGGGCGTCTGCAACTTGAAGGTTCAGAGACGCCACACCTCCTGGTGAGAATCCCCGACCACCGACCACCGCAGCTCACCTGGCTCCTCCCTACTCCCACCCGGCCTGAAATTCCCCCAGGCCTCCTGCCCTGGGGGGCAGGAGGAGCGGGTCTCAGGAGTTGGAGCAGGAATGGCAGGCGCCCCAGCCCCGCCCTACCGCTTCCCTTCAGCGGTCAGCCTCTGAGGGACGTCTCTAGCAGGCCTGGGGCTGTCTCCCGGATCCTCCCGTGGAGCTGGAATCGGGGATGGGGCCCAGGGAATCAGGACAGGAAGACAGAAGCCCCTTGGGGGCGGGGCGGGGCACCGGGGGCGCGGGAGGCGGCCCTCAGCCCGGCACCCAGCTCTGGTTGGGGGGCGGAGCCCCGGCCAGGCCGGGCGGCGGCGGAGGCAGGGCAGAGTCGAAGTTGAAGTCCATTTCGTCGCTGTCCATGAAGTCGTTGAGGATGATGGACTCGACGTCGCACTCGAGGCTCCCGCTGAACATGTCGAGGTCCAGGTCGGCGGGGAAGCGGTCGGGCGCGGCCCCCAGCGGCCCGGCGGCGGCCGCCGCGTATGGCCCCGGCAGCGCGTCCAGCAGGAGGCCCCCGGGCGGGGCCCCGAAGGCGGCCGCGTGGCTTGGCGGCGCCAGGCCCGCGGCGCCCGCCTCGCCGGGCAGCGTCATAAGGCTGATGGGGTGGGCTAAGGCACTGCGCGAGGGCACCGGCGGCGCGTACGGGGCCGCGCCCTTGCCGGGGTAGGCGGCGGCCGCGCCCGCCAGCGCCAGCTCCCCCGGCGCACCCAGCACCGGGCCGGGCCTGGGTGCGGGCGGCGGCGGCAGCAGCGCGGGCAGCGCCCCCGGGCGGAAGGGAGCGGCGGCCGGCGCGAAGCTGGCCTGCTTGTTCTCCTGGATGGTCTGCATGGGCAGGCGGCGCAGCGCGCCCAGCGCCGGCGGCCCGAAGCCCCCGCCCCCGCCGTAGGCGCTGCTTTTGCAGCCGCCAAAGTAGGCAGGCGTCCCCGCCCGGGCCCGAGGCCCGTACGCGTCCTGCGCGCCGTCCAGCAGGGCTTCGGGCAGCCCCGCGCCGCCGCCGTGCAGGCCCAGCGGGCCCCCCAGCTCGGCCAGGCGGGGCAGCTCCCCGGGGCAGCGCGCTCCTAGCGCGGGCGACAGCGCGCTCGCGGGGCTCGGGTACATGAGCGGCGACGACGGTGCCAGGGCCTCCAGGGCCTCGTCGTCCTCCAATTCGGCCGCCTCCCCGAGCAGGGGTCTCCCGCCGCCGCGGAAGTCTGCCCACGCCTCGTAGTCGTCGCTGGCGTGCGAGGCCGGGCTGGTGGCCCACTTGGCCGCGGCAGGCATGGGCCCCGGGGCCGGCGCGCCCGGGGGACTGTCATCGGGGCTTCGCTCAGGTGCCTGCAGCTGCTTCTTCTTGCTCGCCTTGCCCTTGATGCGCAGGAACTTGGCCCCGTTGTCCATGGACACGGCCCGCCGCCGAGGGGTCTTGCCTGTCTTCCCGCCCTCGGGGTTCAGCATCCACCAGGAGCTCTTGCCTGTGCCCTCATTCTGCACGCGGATGAAACGGGTGTGCAGCGACAGGTTATGCCGGATGGAGTTCTGTGGCCAGAGACAAGGACATGGGTGGGGGAGTGGGAAGCGAGGAGGCCATTAGAAAAGAGGAGGAAGTGATGGAAAGAGGAAGGGGGAATAAAAAGGTGAGAGAGGAGGAAGGAGAAGGGCCAGAAGGGGCAATGGGAGGAAACAGAAAATGATGAAAGGTGAATGGGGTAAAGAGAGGGAGAACAGGTGTTAAGTACCAGGTTGGACAGGAAGACCCACCTTCTAACCCAGAACCGCACCACTCTTCCCTCTCCCCAGCACCCCTTCCCCCCACAACACACACCGCCCAGAGGGAGGGGCTAGGGCTTTGGGCCTGGCGTCTCCCCAGGAGGCCTGGCAGAAGCCTGAGGGCTACTCTTAAGGAACCACAGCAAGGCCCCCTCTCCCCAGCTCAGCCAAGCCCCGCCTGGGGCTAGCCAGGCTGCCAGGGCCCCCCAGCAGATTATGTAAGGGCTCATGCCGCCGCGTGGCTCATTTGTCTGCCCCCTCCCTCCCCAGCCTGGCATGGCGCCAGGAGCCCGAAAACCCAGGACTCCAGAAATCAATCTCGCGGTGACTGATTAAGCCCTGTTTAGAACTAATTGCTCTTTCGTGTGTGGGGAGAATAAATTACCTGCTTTAATTTCGTGTCTTTAAAATGCAACTGCAGGTAGAGAAGACTGTTAACCCTTTGCTGGGAGGGCCTGGCCAGGGGTAGCAGAAAAGGCTGGGGGTCCCTAAGGTGGGTAGAGGCCTGGAACTCTTCTGAAATTTCCCCCAACTCTCCTGAGCTCCTGGGAACCGTAGCAGCCTAGATTCCCAGCAAGCCCCTCAGAGCACATCCATCAGCCATGGGGGACCTCAGACCCCACCTGTGCTCAGTGCCCACCTTCAGGCCAGCCCAGCTCTCCCGCCTGCCCTCCCTTTCTGACCACCTGGAGCAGAGGAGCTCTGCCCCCAAGCCCCTTTCTGGCAGAAGCTTCACAAAGTCGCCACACATCAGGTGGCCTGATCCCCATTTCCAACAAGAAGACCAGGGCTCAGAGAGGTCAAGTGGCTCGCCCAGGGCAGTCCAGTGCCTTCCGCTGTCGCTTGGTACCTTCGTGGGCTCCACCCCTGCCACCCATGCACACACTCTCTTCTAAATTTCTGCCATGCTAGTCTCTAGAGCTCCCCACGTCACAGCGCACTTTTGCCAAAAAGGTGGGGAGGGGTGGCGGGGCACAGCTCCCACGAACTGCCAGGGCTCTTGACTCAATGTCCTTGAGCCTCAGTGCCTCAGTGAATGCCTCTGACCAAAATGGGCCTGGTTCAGTAACCACCCCAGAAAGCTGTTAGATCACTGCGTGAGGCAATGTGTGCGGGCACGTGTTTGGTGACTGAACGGGGTGCTCCTAAAGCCTGGTTAAAGGCCTCACTCTGTCCAGAAGACCACACTTCGAGATCACCCCCCGGACCTGCTTTTTCTCTGCCTCTTTAATACCATGTCCTGGGTATAACTGCGCTAGGCACCAGCCGTCTGGGAAGCTGGCATTACCCCGTCTCACTGCACCAGGGAACAGAGGCCCGGAGGCATGATGTAATTTGCCCAGAGTCCCACAGGCAGCAAATGCCAGATAGCACCCCAGACCTAACCCAGCTCATGGACCTACTCCTAACCTATTTGTCTGCCCAGCTCCATAACCACTGACCAGTGAGGGCTCTCCCTCCTTCCCGTCAGTCTCCAGGAGGAGGGGTCCTTCCTGCTGCCTCCCTCACACTCCCAGCTCCAGGTACTGGCCTGACTGTTGAGGCACCCCGCCACCTCCCTATGGCTGCCACTTTCTGGTCTGGGGAGGTGACAGCACCAAGGCTCCTCCCAGCATTGCCCTGCCTGGCTTCTCCTGGAGCCCCGAGAAGAGGGGAGCTAGACCCCCAGGGAGTGGTGCTCCCTCCAGGAGATACCCCCTTCCCACTCCTGCCCTTGCACCTGGCTCCCCAGCCCCTCCTGCACACCTGTGTTCAGAGGCCTCAGGGGCCTCAGTTCTCCCCCAGGGGGCTGTCTGGCTTCTCGGAGGCTCCGCCTCCCAGCTTCTCCAGCTGGAGGTGGGTCAGGCAACACCTCTTTAGCGGTGTCACAGTGTGCCAGCCTGGTGCTGGGGGTGGGGTTGGGGGAGAGGAGGAAGGACGTCACCAAGTGTCAGCACCCACTCAGTACCTGCTTGTTCAGCCCGAGGTATCATAAGTCTTTGATCTCTCGTATTCTCTCCAGCTCCATACAACTCAGGGATTGTGAGCCCTGTCTCTGGATGAGGAGAGTAAGGCTCAGAGTGGTTCAGTAAGCTGCCAGTCCCACCGTTCAGATGGCAGAGGCAGGTACTGATTTCAGGTTCCTCTCACCCGGAGTCCAAAGGACATCACATTCCACCACGGCGGAGAGGACCGAGTCAGGGAATTTCCAAAGAATCTTAGGAAGCCAGGACTCTGGTGCTTCTCAAACTTTCCATGTAAACTATCCCTAGAAGCTGGCAGCATAGGAAGCCTGGGGGCATGCCTCAAGGTCAAAATTTCCTATTAAGTCTTGTGCTTCGTTTTTAGCATTCAGGGGGATTTTGCATTGCAAAATTGCATCTGAGTTTTCTGAACAGACAAATCATGTGTTTCATGTTTTTCCATGTTTCCATGTTTTCCGTGATTTGTACCAAGAGCGCCCACTCTGGGCCTGTGAAGGTTTGCACTCTTCCCCACTCTGTTCCCTGCCTGGCCAGGTACCCCTGGGACCTGGAGGCCCCAGCCTGAAACCACTGCTGGTCTGACCCAGAAAGGATGGACTTGCCCAAGGTCACCCAGGACCTGGTAGCAGAGAGGGGGTTCGAGCACAGGCCTCCTAACCCCTGGCTCGTTGCTCTTCTCACCCCACCAAGCCTCACCTGGGCAGGCCTGTTCATCTCTCCGGGCCTGTCTCCCCACTTGGGTACTGATGAGATGTGTCAGCTGTACTCCATGACCTTTTCAATCTGACACTGTAAGTTCTTGAACTCATCCAGTCCACAGGTTTTCAAACCTTTTTTATTTTTTAAGATTTTTATTTATTTATTTGAGAGACAGGGAGAGAGAGTGCCAGCAGGGGGGAGGGGCAGAGGGAGAGGGATGAGCAAGGAGCCCCATGATGCGGGGCTCCATCCCAGGACCCTGGGATCAAGACCTGAGCCAAAGGCAGACGCTTCACTGACTGAGCCACCCAAGTGTCCCAAACTTTTTTTTTTTAATAGTAGAACTCTTTGCAAATGGAATCTAATGCAAAACGGAGTGTTCCAGACACAAGCCATCAGGGAGCAGGACCGGCTCACACCCCTGGCACTCTCGCAGAAAACCAGGCCCCGGTGGAAGGATGCTGCAGGCCAGGCGGAAGGGACTGTGGACAGGACATCTGGAGGTCTGGCACACCTTGCCCGGGGTCACCTGGAGAGGGAGCCCAGAGCTGGGTAAGGACCTAGGCCTTTGCCTGTGGAGCCAGGCTGGGCACCAGCTGTGTACCTGGGCTGTGGCCCCTGAAGGCAGTCCAGGCCCTGAAGCCCAGTCTGGCTCCTCAGGGCCCAGCCACCTGGTACCACTCAGAGCTCCCAGCCAAGATCCAGAGGCAAGCACAGATCATAGCTCACCCACAGGGCCTCCTGGGAGGCCAGAGGCCACGGAGGAGGTGAGGAAGGCAGAAGAGGGAGACGCCTCTGCCAGGCAGCAGTAACCAGGGCTCCCTTTTAGAGTCGCCTAGCAACCCGCCACCACAGCCACAGCCCCGGCATGCCCAGGCTCCCCTGTGCCCGGAGCTGGGCCCAGCTTCTGGGGCCTCCCGCCTCCCATACCTCCATGCAGGCCTGGGGCAGGTTAACAGGGAGGTCAGGCCTCCCTGATTTGGGAGGGAGGCCATCTCAGGGCAGAGGGAAGGCACAGTTGACTGCATCTACGCCCATCCCACTCTCCCTTGGAACCCGGGATAGAGAGCCTGGGCCCCGGGGGCCTCACCCACCTGGGAGAGGAGCTGGTGCAGGGGAAAGCGCATGGGCTCTGGTGTTGGATCTGGATTTCAGTTTGGGCTCCCAACACCCCACGAACTGTGCAACTCTGGGGCAACATGCCTTGAACCTCTGTGTCTTCAAAGACCTAACTGCTTCCACCCTTGCCTCCCTACAGCCATCTCCCCCCAAGCAGTCCCACCCACCAAATAGCTTGGATCACATCCAGGCCTGCCCAGAATGCTCTGATGCCCCCCATCTCAGAGTAAAGAATGACAGCCTTGCCATAACCCGCAAGAGCCTCCATGACCTCTCAGTCTCCTCCCCTAAGCCTGATCTGCTCGATTCCTTCCTCCTGTTCCTTGAAACTGCTAGGCACGGTCCCGCCCTGGGGCCTCTGTCTCAAGGGAAAACTGTTCACCCAGATACCCCCATCCATCTCTCATCTCTTTCAAGTCCACGTGCAGATAGAATCTTTTGCCACGAGGCCCATCGTGACCACTCTAATCTTTTGCTCCTCCTCTCTGCCATTTCCTGACTTCCCCGACCTGCGCTCAATTTTTCTAGAGCAATAATCACTTTTTTAATTAATAGACAGTTCATATGCATATATTAAACAATTACTATGTAAGTTATATATAAATATATAATTTATTTAGAGTCTGTATTTATTATTTATTGTCTGTTGCCCCTCCCATTAGAATGTAAGTTTCAGGAGGGATTTTTGTCGATAACCTACATGTTGACTGTACCCCGTGTGTTTGATGCACACCAGGCATTTAGTAAATGTTCACTGAATGAATGAATGAGCGAGAGAGAGTGGAGGGGGTAATACTGTGTTGCAGGGAGAATTAAAGGAAACTGGGCAGAGAGAAGGGGACACAGGCAGAATGAAAGACAAGCATGGGTGGAACAAGTCAGGAACAGCCTGATCCACAGAGGGAAGCACAGAGGAGGGTCAGGGCTTCCGTGAGAAATGAGGGGACAGCCTCAGGGGGTGGCCGTGCCCCTGTTCCCCCCACTCCA